AAGAAAAACATATGATCTCGGAAATGCATTTCCGAAAGTGTCATTGGCACAAGTGTGTAATCTCTGGCATTTTGCACCTTTCAGTATGTTTGTTGATTCTGATACGACTATAAATCCTCCTGGGATTAAACTGGATTACTGGACTATAAGATGTCAACACGATTGCCCGTCGTGTCTCGTATCAAAACCAGATCTGTTTCGATTTTGTTCCCCCTTATCATATTTACTCTAAACGTATGTTGTCCTTGCTCTTGTGGGTACGAGGTGAAAGATGTATTCGTTATGATGCTAGACTTATCCTCCAACCTTCTCCCAGAACATCGTTTTGGCTTCCGACCCCAGCAAGTATTTCGCGTTGTGGACCGCATATCCTCATCGTATGCGCATCCTTCCACATATTTCCTTCATAGCCGAACGATTCTTCCGCCAAGGATCGGCCTATTGTCCTCGGGGATTGGGAGTAACCCAGGGGAACGTTGTTGAACCGATCCTTTACCTCCTTTACACTGCCGATATCCCAACTGCACTCTCCACCATCCTTGCATCCATGCGTGCTATCTTCTTATCCTGATTTCACAATTGCTTCGGGAGAGGTTCAGGCACACGTCCTGAAAATAGCCAAAAGGAGCAAACATTGGCGTATAAAGATCAATGAAAGCAAAAGCACCCACATACCATTCAATTTTAGACGCAAAATCCTACATACAATACTCTTCAATAATACCCCATCCCACAAACAAATTACTTGAGCTACCTTGATTCAATCTACACTCGAGAGTAACCTGGAACCAACACACACGACTAAAACATCAGGCACTAAACCAAACTATTCTACAGACTATTGTCACGTAAATGTAACGATTCAACGAAAAACAAACTGACAATCTTCAAGACGATATTAAAACCAGTCTGGATAGAAGGACTAGAACTGTGGGCACCGCTAAACCATCAAACAGCCAAACAGTTCTTCCAATCAAAAGTCCTCAGAATGATAGTGCTCCGCTACCTCTCCAACAACTCCCTTCACAACCTCAAAATCCCTTTCGTTTAAAAAAAATTATTCCCAAAACATTTGCCATTTTCCGCTATAAATTCTCCCCTCACCCCCTGCATATCAAATATAAACCACCCTTATAATCCCACCAGACAAATGAGACAGGAGATGGCCTCGCGACCTGTAAACGATTAGTCTTCGCGTATAGTTGACAAAGTAACAATGGTTGTTAACTCCCCTCACAACACATGATCCATGCCGTTTTTAAATTCGACTCATTACTTGTTGTAAACAATGATTAACTTCGATCCACTCGGACGTCAACTCCCCATCGCAACCTACAACCTTTCCAATTTTCCCTCTTTTTTGCCATTTTTCAAATCATTGTTGGTGTCCGAGTTGATCTCTGGATATCTCAAATGGTTACAGGAGCGGCGTATTGAGCCGAAGGTCGTGGGTTCGAATCCCGCTCGTGGCACCAGCTTTTTCATTTCAACCAGAACTTTACATAAAAATGGCAATTATTTAAAAGAAGTAATTTGGTCAATCAGACCACTAAGTATAATGGGGTAATATACAATGTTATAGATAGTAATAAATATATTAAATTAAAAAAAAATAATAAAAGCTCTTATTGATTGATTATCGATTCATCGTTTACCTGTTAACCGATTTACGTAGTCTTTTTATATAGGTTTAGTCTATTCTTCATAGAACAATTCTTCCTATATGACAACGAAATGTAAACTTTTATTTACGATCGAATATACGACATATGTAATGATGTAATTTGGTCGTTATCGATCATTTTGGACTGCCTATCCTCTCTGGATTGGACAATTTGCCCTCTTCGGTGTTGAGTAGGCGAAGTGCTCAGGTCTCTTGGATCCTAAAGAGAAAGAAGATGGTTTAACCCTTCCTTGCCTCAGAGGAACACCTACATGGGCACTTTTAGGTTAACGTTATTTGGGGTGCCCAGTGTTACTGTCCTGTGTGTTGGCAACACTGAATTTTTTGGCGCCAATTTAAAAATCTTCAGTCTCCAACATGGTTCTTCACAACCGCTGCATCTCGTTTTGAATTGTTATCTTAATCAAATAGATTAAAATTTTCATATTCAATTTATAAATTAACCCCTTCTAACTTAATGTCGCCCGAGAGCAAGGCCAAATGTAGCAATTTTGTACCAAGTTAGCGGGGAATCCGCGAGGTTAGGGCGGACGCAGTGTTTCTGTCCGTTTATGGGCAGCACTGATTTTCCGGACGCCAATTTGAAGACTCCTTCTTGGAATCTTCACCCTCCAACGTGGTTCTTCCTCTCCGTAAGGATTGTTGCATTTGTCTGGGATGCAAGGGGGTTAAATTAACCGTTTCTTGTTAAAAGTTGTCACAGATCTGCGCCAGCTTCGGCAATTTTAGATTAGAATCCTGGCGTCGAGTATCTATCCAATTGTGTATTGGCAACACTGAATTGTTTGCCTTATGTTAATCGTATGTCAAATCATAAGTTGCGCGAAAACTCAGATTGAGGAATGACCGTCGAAACAATTCGCCAACTTTTATATAAAAAACGTAAAAAGGCCTCACATAGAACAAGGAAAACAAAGCTGAAAGTTTTACAACACTGAATAAGTATAATAAAAACTATAATAACGTGGGAAGTTTGGGGGCCGATAAACAGCTGAAATCATCGCCGGCTCTCTGCCTAAATTGAACTGCCTCAGAAAAATAAATATTAGCCGAATTCACTTGGATTTGTGAAAGTCAAAGAGTTGTAAAACCGCAAAAAAGATGATTTAGGGAAAAATAGCCTGTTATGTGTATTAAAAACTAAGATCAAGGAGGCAGAGTCAAAGTAGGAGACAGTCTTTTATAAAATGTCGTCCATGTGTCTGCCAAATGCCACCTGCCCTTTCACCTACCTAAACAATTAATAATGGTGCAATATTTAAAGAAATTACTCCGTTGGAAGAAAATAAATTGAAACTTGTTCATATCCTCCGAGTACTTTGTGTGTGTTGGTAAAAATTTTACAATTGCCATTAAAATGAAGTTGAAGCATTTATTTAAGCGGTTTTCATTTGGATTTGAGGATGTCAGAGGGATGAAAAATCACTCAAAATGTAATGTTGAATAAAAATCATGTTATGTGTATAAATCAATGAAAACTGAAGGAAGTAGTGACGAAGTAGGAGTCAGTCTTTCATGTGATCCATGACCCACTTGTCTTTTCGTGTAAACCAACTATTTAAATAATCAGTAACAGTATAATAATAGATAAAAGGATGACCACGTTGGGAGAAAATAAATTGAAACTTGCTTAAATCTTCCAAATGCGTTGTTAGTGAAGGTAAAAATCTTATCATTGCCATTAAAATGAAGTTGAAAAATTTATTTAAACGGTTTTCACTTGAATGTGTGGATGTCATTGGGATGAAAAAATCACTCAAAATGTAACGTTGAATAAAAAGTATGTTATATGTATAAATCAATGAAGTAGTGACGAAGTAGGTTTCAGTCTTTTATGTAGTCCATGCCACACTTCTTTTTGCGTAAACCCAACTTTTTATACAATTAATAAATGTTCATTAGATTAAAGCATGACCACGTTGGGAGAATGTAAATTGAAACTGGCTCAAATCTTCCAAATCCTTTGTTAGTGGAGGTAAAAAATCGTCTCATTGTTCATTTAATTGAATTGCCTCAGAAAAAAATGTGTGTAATCAGCGTTCACTTGAGTTTGTGAAAGTCATAGAATTGTACCACCGCCAAAAATGTGATTTTGGGGGAAAAAATGGTATGTTAGGTGTATGGAATACTAAGATCCATGAGGCAGTGACGGAGTAGGAGTCAATCCTTCATGTCGTCTATGCAATGCCTGTCTTTTCGTGTAAACCCAACTATTTAAATAATTAATAACAGTTTAATAGGTAAAAGTATGACCACGTTGGAAGAAATAAATTGAAACTTGTTCAGATTTCCCGATTAATTTGTGATGTAGGTAAAATGGTATGTGTATAAATCAACGAAGATCAAGGATACAGTGACGATGTAGGTTTCGGTCACATGTGTCGTTTCGCTTAAACCGAACTATTTAAGTAATTAATAACAGTTTAATAGATAAAAGGTTGACCACGTTGGTAAAAGTCAAGTGAAATTAGTTCTGATCTTCAATGTCCTCGTCAAGGAAGGTAAAAAATCGTACCACTGTTTATTAAATTGAACTACGTTAGAAAATTGTATTTATGTCGTTTTTACTTGGAAGAGATTTGTATAAGTTGTAAGGATGCGAAACCGCAAAAAAGGGGATTTTGAAAACAAAAACAAAACAGAAATGTAGTTTCAAAAAAGGCCCCTTTTTTTGAAAATGAGAGCAATTGAAATTGATCCAGGGTTGGACGCCATTCGGCCGGTGACTCGAGAGGAGTGATCCGTTCTCCCGGGAGTCTCCCCGTCTGTTCTGTGAGCGGGCGTCCGGGACTTGGGCCGAGGAGGCGTGGCCGGGAAGGCGGGAGTCGCCGCTCGGTGCGCACGCATTTCGACTCGGAGCAGCACGTGACCGTTCCGTCCCTAAGCCAGTCCAGCCCCGGCCCGCCGTCTGTCGAGTCCTCCTCGGTCGCTAAGCCCGTCGCCCAGTTTTGTTGTCCTTTCACCAGAAGAGGCGTTCTCGATCCCGTTTCCCGGAGATCCGACGGATGAAAATCGACTGAGTGGCCGAGGACCCTGGGACCTTCCGACCCCGCTACTTTTTAACTTTTTTTTTTCTTTCGGTTTTTCTCTTTTGTCAGTGTGTTCTTTGAAATCATTCAAAATTCGGGTCAAAAACAGAGAACCGGTCCCGGTCTATCAGATGGAGATGGACCGACGTGACAGCGACCTGGAAGGAAGCGTGGTGAGTAAAATAACCCTTTTTTTATTATATTTTATTTGTCATACCGAAAACCTTCTCATGAACCCTTTATTTATCTCAAGTCTCTCCAGGAGTAATATATCAATGGTACTCCTTTTGTTTTGGACTTATTTACCGCCTACGCCGGCCGGTTTGGACAGAAATCTTCATTTTCCAAACGGCGGTTTGGCCTTTGACGTGCGATTTTGACTGACAAGACTTCATATTTTGTTTCCACAAGCCTGGGGCGCCCCTAGGCCTTAGGCTTCCCAGCATGGAAAATACATAATCTGTTATCTAAACATGCCTACATATTTCCATTGCTCGGAGAATATTTTCAAAAATCCTGTTTATAAAAGTTAAAAGTTAATAACTTAATCGCTTCCTTTTTAACCATCACATGCACCGCAAACTTCAATCACACCCGATTGAAATTGGAGCTAAAAAACAAAACAAAAAAACGGCAAATTTGTTTTGTTTTTATCACTGCGTTACCAGTTATCATAAGGGCATTATTTCATTTAAAGAACTTATAAGTGAATAATATATACAGGGTGTACCGTGGACGTCACTCATTTTAATAGGTCCCTCTTGTCCAAAGATTCTCAGGTGATATCGTTAAGGTTACTTTCAACCTTTGACAACTTAATTTTTTTTTACACTGCGTTCAATTTTGTATTAAAGACTTTTTTTAAAAAGTATTCACAGAAAGTAAAACTTTTATTTTTATATTTTTATAAATTCAGTTAACTATGGTAAATAGTTTCATACGTGTTGAAAAGCTTATTAGCAGGTGGAAAGTTTATTGTTTTTAAATTTTTTACAGAACCGAGAAAATCTCACTTTAAACTTGATAGAAGAACATTGGAAACACGTAAAAGTGTCTTCTATGTAATTTTGTGTTTTGTTTATTTAGGGTTACAATTAGAATAGAAGAAAAAACCAGGGTTTACGTTAATCCTAATTACATTAACTGCATTAACGTGATAAAATTTACTGTAGTATAAAACATATTGCTTTTTACCGTCAAAATAACCATTTTTAATTTCAAATTAACCCTTTCTTTAAAAAATTAGAAAAACATAATAGTTAAAATGAAATATGATTGTGTGAACTTCCAATTCATTTGCGTTTTTTTTTACTAGAACATATTATCGAAATTAGAAAATGAATTCCAATTAAAAATAAAAATTATATATAATTAAATTTAAAAAAAAGTTAATCTCTATTCTAGATTTTTTCTTAAATATAATTTTTTAAATTTAGCTGTATTTAATTTTCATGTGGTTTTCATGAGCTCAATTATTTTACTGTGAAAAAATCACACATATGGAGGAATTTTATTTTACTTGCTTATATTTCATACGAGCTCCTAAGTTTTGTTTTATGCTTGAAAGAAAGGGTAAATTTGTCGGGAAAAAGCATAATATAAAACATGATGAATACAAGGACTTTATGTGAAAAAAAAGATCAAAGGTTGAAATAAACAATGTTTGAAAAATGAACAAAAAAATTCAAAGGGGTCTTTCTAACATAGCCGTCAAATTAACTCTTTCTTTAAAGCATTAAATAAACTAAGGAGATCGTATGAAATACAAGCAAGTAAAGTAAAATTGATGACCATGTAAAGTTCCAGTTCATATGCGTTTTTATTTATTTATTTTTTTTTAAATTAAATTTTTTAAACGTCAATTAGCCCTTACTAGACCATATTATTGAAATTTGAAAATGAATTCCAGCTAAAATTAAAAATAGTATATAATTAAATTTAAAAAAGTTACCATTAATTCAAGATTTTTTAAAATATAATTTTTAAATTTAGCTGTAATTAATTTTAATGAGCCCAATTATTTTACAGTAAAAAAACCTCAAAGATACAGGAATTTTACTTTACTTGCTTATATTTCATACAATTTCCTAAGTTTTATTTTATGCTTGAAAGAAAACGTTAATTTGAAATTAATAATGGTTAATTTGATGAAAAAAAGCTATATAATGAATGTAAGGTGCATGGGAAAAAAGGTTATCCAAAGGTTTGAAATAATGTTTGAAAAGTGAAACAAAAATTTCAAAGGGGTCTTTTTTAGTGTCAAATTACTCCTTTTTTAAAACAATAAAAACAACGTAAGGTTGGAATGAAATATCAGCATGTAAAGTAAAATTCCAGTTTATTTTATTTATTTTTTAATATTAACTAATTGGGATTGGAAGATCATATTATAAAATATAGCCCAGATATTTTATATTTAAAAAAACGCAATTATAAGGTATTTTATATTACATGCTTATATTTTATACCACCAAATTTTTTTGTTTAAAAAAAATGGGTTATTTGAGATTAAAAAGGGTTAATTTGGCGGTAGAAAGTTATGGGATACAAATTGTCAAAGGTTGAAATAAACAAAAAAGATATTTAGGGGATTTTTTAACATGCAGCTTTTTCCCATCAAATAAGCCCTTTTTAATTTCAAATTTACCCTTTCTTTAAAGCATTAAAACAACTTAAGAGGTGGAATAAAACATGAGCATGTTCGTTTATTTGCGATTTTTTAATTATGTTTTATAATTTTTTTTAAATAAAATAATTGGGCACTTCGAAGGCGGTATTATTAAAATAGGAAAAAATAATTAGAATTAAAAAAGTTCTTTCTATTAATTTGATAATTTTTAATGTAAAAAAATTTGGTTTTTAAAATAAATTGCGTATAATTTTTAGTTTTAATTACAATTATTATATATTGGTTTTAAGAAACCTATTATTTTACAGTAAAACAAAAAATCGTGTACAGGGTTATTTATATTCATTTTACATGTTTATACCATTATTTTTATATGTTTATACCATAATTATTTTACATGTTCATATCATTTCCTAAGTTTTTCTTAACGCTTTAAAGAAACGGTTAATTTGATGGAAAGAAGCTATATAATAAGGTCCGAGGGAGGAAAAAAGCTCTGTAATACGACGGACTTTTTCGGGGAAAAATTGTCAAAGGCTAAAACAAAGTGAAAAGTGGTTTTTTTTTGGGGGGGGGGGATTTTTTAGTCCAATTTGGAATTGGAGTTCTGAACGCGTTCACGAGACACCCCGTACTATAATTATTTATCTCTAATGAGCTTTTTGTTTTTCGTGACCTGTCCTTAATGGTCCGTCCAAATAGGCGGCCTTAATCGGATTCGGCCCCGGTTATTTTCTTAATGGAACGTTCCAATTAAAATTTTTAAAAAAATTGACAATAATCTTCTGATTCGAGGACGGGGGAAATGTTGAACATTGAAATCGCAAAATTGATTATTGTAGCTACCGTGATTTTTTTTAAACTTATCAATAGTGAAAGGAACTTTAATCTAACATAATAAAATAATATTCAGGATTTTGATTATTCAGAAATCGTGAGATGCGGTCTGGTGTGTCGTAGGTTTCAGAAAAACATTTTCTTTAACGTGCCAATGTTTCGATCTTTATTGAGATCATCTTCAGCGCTCAGTGTTTGGAACGGCACAATTACGCAGAAAACAAACACTTTGAGCCCTGAAGATGATCTCAGTCAAGATCGAAATCTTCATGATAAAAAAAAATGTTTTTCTGAAACCTACGTCACACCAGACCGCATCTCACGATTTCTGAATAATCATCGACTAACGGTCACTAATCACCACATATTTCATGATTTTATTACTAAAACCAAAAGATGCACTCAGTAAAGTAAGCTAGTTTTTTTTTTTTAACTTATCAACAGTGAACGGAACTTGACAAAATAATAAAGGAAAATTATTCAAGGTTATTATATTATATCAGACGATTAGCTTTTTTACCTAGTATAAGAAAATAATATTTAGAATTTTATTGAAACAGATTAGATATGTAAACTTTTACAAAAACCCAAAGATGCCGTCAGTAAAGGTAACTTTAAAAAAAGTTCAATAAAAAAATATTACAGATTCGTTTTAAGCACTCTTTAAATCCTTTAAATACAGCAATTTATTCTTTACGATGATTTGTATTTCCATTTAAAAAATACATAACTCCTCAAGGTTTCCTCCAAATTCGACTTTGTTACTACCGTCGGAAAGGTGAATGTTTCTACTTTCTTCCCGTGTCAACAAGGTTAATGTTTTATGTCATTAGAGGGGAGAAAATAAGTATAAAGCCAACAGGAACATCCTAAATGTTTTTATTTTATATCTCAGATTCTGATTTTTCACGGAGGACGGGTTTACTCCATTACGTGTAGTTTATAGAGTGTTAAACCCGTGTAAAGTTTCCCTTTACATCGCTGTGGTAATTTGGTAATTTATGAACATATTTGAGAGTTTTAAAGAGAAAAAAAATCGTAGGCGAAAATTTTCCGGAAAATCCGCATTTTTTATTTTCAGAAAAAATTGTCTTCAGGTGTTTTTTGGAGTGGGAAAAACGAATATTAATTTTTTTTTTCAATTAAAAATATTTCAACCTACTTTCCTTGAGTCTCTACGTCAAAACTGACAGGGCTAATTATCTTGAGAGTTTTCTTATGTTAATATTTAAAGATTATTATGTATTAGTTGATCTGCTTTTTCCCCCTAGTTTAAGAAAAAATATTTAGATTAATTAAGATTAGATATAGATATAATTTAGGTTAATAAATGAGATTACATATATAAAAAGTTTCAAAAACCAAAAGATGCACTCAGTAAAGTTAGCTTTAAAAAGTTTTTTTTTTAAATTCAGTTTTGTGCATTAAGCCTTTGAGTTCCTAAATTTTTGGTCTTAATGAGCTTTAGCGATGGGAATTTTTGTTTCAATGTTGTCCGGGGCTCCCTTTAAAAAATTCACAATTCCCCGAGGTTTTATCTAACTTTATTACATTATACTGAATGCTTCTACTTTCGATGTGTTGTCAATGGCAACCAGGTTTAGATTTTATGGCGTTATAGTGAGAAAAATAAGGATAGGAATAGAAACGTCTCAAATGTTTTATTGGATACCTCAGGTTCGGATGTTTTCATGGAGGCCTGGTTAT